GCACTTGCAGTGAACAACGGCTGACGGAGGACATCGTACACGCTCAAGCCCTCTTCAGCCTACCGTGATTAGTGCCCCGAGGCGCGCATCGCTTACAGAACCGAGGGCCATATTCTCAACAGCCGGTGCACAGAGGCCTCAACGGGTCTCTTAATGACTACTGCACGCTCAAAACCGCGACAGAACCGAACACGCGATGGAATATGAACCTCTCCGCCTCCGGTTGCGCCGACTTCGGATTGGCCATCAAGACGGCCAAAGAGATGGTCATGTATCAACCGCCAGCAAACGCTGCATAAAGTGTTCCTTGCATCCACCTCGACGGAACCCAACCGAAAACTGTGGACAGCCTTACCAACCTAGGCAGAACACTCTCACGCCGCATCAAACTCGGCGACGAAGCGGACCATTGGATCTCCAGAGCCAGTCAGGCCTTCAGGCGACTTGAGAACTACGTATAGAATCGCCACGGTCTAGGCCCCAACACCAAATTCAAGAGGTAAAAAGCTGTCGTCTTGACGACGCTGCTGTACGGAGTGGAAAACTGAACAATTTACAAAAACCAAGCGCGGAAACTCAATAACGGCTAGATCGCAGATGGTAGCCAGACCGCGTATTACAGGTGGCTGAGGGGATTGTTTACTGGGGCTATTTTGTGGGGCTCCATAATCACATCTGTCTCATTTGGCTTCCGTTTTACGTTTGAGGTTAGGATTAGGATACCGGTTAATGGTTTCCGATTTTCGGGTTACGATTAGGGTTTGAGCGTACGATTAGGTTTCAGTATTACGGTTGGGTTTCTCAGTTATGGCTATGTCTAAGGGCTACGGTTACGTTTACGATTTCGGTTAGGGTTAGGGTTGCCGTTAGGGTTAACGGTTAACGCTTAAGGTTAGGGCTAAGGATAGGATTAGGGTTAAGGTCGCCGTCCGCCTCCCATTCCTGGCTACCAACTACGATCTAGCCTCAATAACTTCCACCTTCGAAGAAACCTAGACCTCTGGTGACAGAACGGGATCCCGGACACAGAAGTTTCGGAACGGACCGGAATCCTCAGGATCCACGCCATGCCGAGGCAACTGCAACTGCGATGAAGAGGAGCGGTGAGAGACAGTCCGAATACTTCTTCCACGGAGATATCACATTGGATGCTCGCTGATAAGGATGTAAAACACTCCGCCACAAGGACACTTCGAAGAATTTTCGGAATCGTCCATAACCCAACGCGAAAGCCTGGAAAAAGTCCGCAAATGACTGACCAGTCTGAAGAAAAACAGTGGAGATGGAAAATAACCTATGGCGCCGACTGGATTCCGCGTCCCAATCCGCAACGCCAGCGCCTGGCCCCATCCAATATGCCGATATTATCAACGAACCTGCCCGCACGGACTGGTCTCACTGGACACCTCCGGACTCAGTGCAACAACAACTAAATAAACCCGGCTGCCGCACTAGCTCCAACGGCGTTCACGACGAAGACCTCCCTGACCATTCATACATCTCATGGGCCTACTCGGTTACATGCGTATCCACGACAGCGGAATTCACCGCAATATCGACCCACAAGGCATACCTTGCTCACCCAACATCTCTTCTATCCTCAGCCCTGCCGAGTGTCTGACCTCCAGGGCGGCCACCACTTGCAACATAAGAATCTCGACCGTCTCAGCAGATTTCAACTTATCCTGCCCACATTGCCACCGCAGATGCACGTCACGTATTGGCTTGATGGGTCACTCGGGAATCCATCGCGCAGAGACTGGCGAACCAGTGCCTGGAGCGCTAACACAACCGTCGTCATCACCTCAACTGTTGGCATTAATCTCGAACATTCATCCATCGCATGGGCCTATTTGATCACATGCGCCTCCACGACAATCTGCAGTAAATCACCGTAGACATGATCAAATCACTACAATCCCTCCATCAACACAAGCACCACACATGAAGACCTTCAGCATCCCACATCTCTGGCACCTCTCATGTAAGTCGAAAGTGCGTTCTTCGGTTCTTCCGCTACGCGGGAGGTCGGAGCAATCCACGTCCTGCGTATGAAGAATAAATGAGATAATACAAGTTAGGTATTTTTTGCGGTAGTAGGCAATTTCGAAAGGATCTTTACGGCTAACGGCAAAAATTGATCTACACCCTCACTCCCCCCCGACCAGAGAGCCGCCTAGTGAGAGCACTGTGGGTAAGCGCCTGGGCCGCACTCGGGTCAGTCTATCGACGAAGGCCAAATTATTGATTTTTGCCACACTGCCACACCGCGAGGCGAACAAGCTTGTCACAGGCGTTCACCCTACTCGGTATGTGACATGTACCAAGGGCGATGCGGATTTGGGCGCCTCGGTTAAGCGGGTAAAGCGTCAATGCCCCAAAACGGGTCACGTAGTATATGCGCCGGATCATCAGAGGGCTATATCGGAGTCCAATAGGCGTTGGCGGTAATGCACACCCATACCAAATAGCATGCCCAGTTGCCGGTTCACGCCGGGCCCATTGGGATCCATGTCACTGGCCTACTTTTGTAGTGGTATAAAGTGCTGATGGGTGTACCTTGAGGACCAGGCGGGCGTGGTCTTACGCCCAGGTGCCGGCTTTCGCCGTGGCAGCCACGCACGCCTGCTCCAACCTCCGGTTTTCTTAACTTGGTCATAACACCGGGCCCAGGTGGGAGAGGAGGAAGAGAGAGTGCAGTATATGCTGCGCAAGCCTACTTTCATTAGAAACTAATTTACGAGCCCCTCACGGTCCCTGTTGTCGCCATGCTGTGGAGCACACGATGAACGCACATTTGCCATTATAATTTGGCCGTCTCATCCAACGATGTCCACCGCGTGCTCCACAGCAAGGTGAAGAAGGAACAGTAACTTGCGCACCATCTATCCCACTCTCTCTCTCTTTCGCACCTGGACCCGGTGTCAAGTGCGGACGACAGTTCGACTGTTGTGCCCGACGATGGCCACCGTATGCTCCACAGTTGCATTAGATTCCCTTAAGTACTCCTCCGTCAATTTTTCTGATCCTCTACAATTTGCATACAAGGCAAAGCGTAGCACCTTGGATGCTGTTGCTTTAGTTGTCCATTCAGCCTTGAGAGACTTAGACAAGGGATGCCGTGCATATCCATGTGCTTTTCTCGACTATTCATCCGCCTTCCATACTATTCCGCGCCAACTCCTACTGATCAAAGCAGCTGCGTGTGACGCTCCGAGCTGGGTTGTTTCTTGGCTTAGAGAGTATTTTTCCTTCCGCACACAGTTTGTCCAGTCGGAAAGAGAAAATCTTCTATTCTTCCAAATAATTGTGGAGTTCTACAAGGTTCCATCTTATCCGCTCGTCTTTTCTCTCGACATACTGATGATTTGCGATCGCCAAACGACTGCCTGTATGTTAAGTATGCGGGTGACATGGTCGTAGGTCACCCACTTAAAAACCTGACTCACCTAGTCTTTAAAGGATGGCTTAGATCACGTCTCCCACTCAAAAACCTGACTCACCTAGTCTTTAAAGGATGGCTTAGATCACGTCTCCGCATGGTCGTCGAATAATGGACTCCTACTCAACAATCAGAAATCAGTACAGTGTGTGTTTCGATTGCGACCCTCTCCCATTCCTGAACCTTTGGATATTCTTCCCAATGAGGTACCCTCTTTCCGGTACCTAGGTGTTACTTTGTCCTCAAATCTCTCTTTATCTCTTCATATGGAAACCCTTTTAACAAAAATTCAAAAACTTGTTTATTACATTCGTCGTCTACGTTCATATCATACACCCCAGTCCTTAATCTGGCGATTCATAGATGACTGTATTCTTCCACTCATTCTTTATTGTTCTCCAGTTATTTTTCCAGCTTTACTTAAAAAAGATCTAATTATTTTTAAACGTGTCATTCGAATGCTCGCCTCTGCTGCTGGTGTTTCCTATCATATTTTAGTTGATATCATCGTGCAGCGACACTTCAATACGGTAGAGCAATTTGCTGACCGAATTCTGAATGACACCGTCCATCCTCTTCATAATGAGTTAATGGCTGCGAAATCCTTACGCCCCATGCGTCGATGCTTCCGCCACATCCCTTGTCGCACATCGGCTTATCAGAATTCCATACTGCCATTTCTAGCCCGGTATCTCACCTGCAAAGATGCTGAAAAACAAAAGCTGAAACTTGATCTTGCACCTTAAAGTCCTTTTTTAAGATATAATTATGTCCAGCTGTCCAATACCTGTTAATCTCTATGGTAATCACTGTGTACTGGAGAACCGTTTTTTGCTGAAAGTTTTGAATGTTATTTTCAAAATAAAGCATTCCCCCCTCTCTCTCTCACCTGGACCCGGTGTCAAGTACGGACGACAGTTCGACTGTCGTGCCCGCCGATGGCCACCGTATGCTCCACAATAAGACGCAGCGGACACGGTGACTTGCGCGTGAATTAGTTTATAGCGAGTGTAGACTTGCGCAGCATCTACGGCGCTCTCTCCTGCCGCACCTGCACCCGGTGTCAAGACAGGATCAGGAATACCGGAGGCGGGACGCGGGCGGGTGGCACGGCCGAGCCCGAACCTTGGCGCTCCACTCCACACCCCCTGCTCCACACAAGGATTGGCCAGGATTTCGACCAACAACAAAAAACTGAAAAGGCATAGATGACTGGGCAGCTATGCACACAACCTGCACACCCAGCGGGAGCATCTTCCGCCGGAGAGCCAGGTACCGGAGAACTGCCAGCGCCCACTAGGCTGCGAGGGCAATTGTTTGCTGACCATGGCATAGCAGACGCTTGAAAAACTTGGGGCCCATAGTGAAAGACGAGTGATACCACAGGATCAGCCTCACTCTTCTTACCTCCCATGCATCCCACAAACGCAACTGTTAAAAAGGACAATAAAGTTCTGCATAAGACATTTGACAAACTGCTCAGGACTGTACAGGACGACTCAGGGGGAGGGGGGGGGGCGGAGATAGGAGAGATAATATGGAATGTGGGGTAGAAGCATCATTCGGTTGCACTGGAACACGCATTAGGTTCGACGGGTTTGGCAAAGTCAGGGAAAACAGTGGAGGCGTCGTTAGTCCTCCGCAGTCGCCTTAGGACACCGCGCGATGGTCCAGCCATTTCCGCGGTCAGCTTCACTGTTGTCGGTGCTTGAAACATGTCCATCAGGTCTTGCTTCACGTCTCCGGCCAGTAAGCGGATAGTCGACCCGCCTACACCGATGACTTTTTTCTTAAAAAAAAATACGTACTTTAATTGTAAACAAAAGACGATCAAATCCCCCCTACAATGATTCGAGCACTACTAAACGCCTAGTGTCAACTGGCAAGTAGATTTAGGCCTTGGGGGACAACGGATCACACCGAACACACAATTATAATATATATATATATGTACCTCACTTCATAAGGCCTATGACGTACTGATGATCGGTAACGACCGTGAAACAGTTGTCTGCGTCTGGCCTGTTGCACTCTTAGCGAGCTGCTCATGTAATATATATATATATATATATATATATATATATAAGCAGAATGGTATTACCGACAAAGACAAGGGAGACTGGAATGGCCATTTCTGGCTTATTAGCCGTCGTCAGCCAGCCATACCCAAGCCCGAAGTGTGCAACACCCGAGCCTCGAACTCGCGACCTGTTGGTTTAGAAGTCCACGCCTCTATCCACCGGGCCACGAGCCCGTTGCCTTGTCGGTTTTCGATCGGGAATATACAATGATGGGGGGCGCTCACTGATCGTTCATACAGAACTCACCCGTTCCGTTGTGCCTTAAGGGCTCTCTCTCGAGCCCAACCAGCAGCCGCACAGTGGCGCATGATACATAGGCAGAATGGCATTACCGACAAAGACAAGGGAGACTGGAATGGCCATTTCTGGCTTATTAGCCGTCGTCAGCCAGCCATACCCAAGCCCGAAGTGTGGAACACCCGAGCCTCGAACTCGCGACCTGTTTGTTAGAAGTCCACGCCTCCATATATAATGGTAGGGGCGCTTCACCGATCGTTCTTATGGAACTCACTCGTTCCGCTGTGCCTTACGGGCTCTCTCTCGAGCCCAACCAGCAGCCAGAAATGGTCATTCCAGTCTCCCTTGTCTTTGTCGGTAATATAATTCTGCCTATACATGACAGATGGCCGACTACCTATCGAGTTAAGGAACGTGGTCTTTCCGTTGTGCCTTGGGGCTTACACTAGAACCCTCACAGGCAGTCGCACAGCGACTAATAGTACAGGCAAATGAAGTGGTACCGACAACGACAAAGGAGACCGGAATGGGCATTTCTGGCCGCCATTCGCCAGTTACACCCAACGCCAGTGTAGATCACTTGAGACTGGCTGGCCTCCTACTTCTTTCATTTTATGTTGCACAGGACTCCACGGTAATTGGACAGTTAGCCAGGGATAAATGGCGTTGTTGTGAGTACAGTGCATCGCGAAACAGAGTATCCATCGTCAGAATAAATGTGACACACCTAAATCTATCACGACGTGTTTAGACACGGGGTTCGAAAGCTGTCAACTGACGGGGTAACTCCGCCATTCTCAGGACTGACAGTCAGGCTCCTTCTCAGTGTGGCTCTAATGAGACGCTCAGGCACATGAGATCTCACAGAAAGCCTGGGGACCGGGTTGCGTGTGGCAGGCTTAGACGGGCCGCGACTGCCAGTGTGTCCGCGTCTACGTCTGGTCGTCTTGGCATTGAATCCAGGTAGACTAGGGAGGACAGAGTGCGATAGATTCAGCGCACGTTCGTCTATTTACAAATTAGTCCACGCACAGGCCACCATTCCGCGCACTTTCTATGGGGCAAGCGGTGGGTATCGTCGCCCGTGAGGATTAAACTATCGACGGTTGATGCATAGCTGGTGTTTTGCCCTGCTCGCCAATTATGCGAATAATAATCCAGTCCCCAAAGAGGGGTGGTCGAACCCAGTACTTGTGAGGTTAAGCTGTAAATATACACGCTTCTCGTCTAACGACTATTTTCTCACCGATGAGCAAAGTGTATTCAACAGTGAGTACAACTCTGACCTCAAGAGCGAAAGCGGAACTCGGTATCGGCAGTGGTGTAACTTACCAGCTGGCGCTCGTTGCGGCAGAGAATGCGCGCATGCACATACATACGATCATCGCCTTCGCCCTCCAGGCGGGCACGTTCGCAGTCGTCCACGATGAAGGAGAGGGCGTAGGGTACCTCCTGTGGTAGCTTTTCCAGACAGTGGGCCCGAACGCACATCTTCACCAGCTCTGTCGGCTCCTGATCGGTCAAGAGGGCTGGAGACAGGACCCAGGGGCGGCCCGGCTTCGCACGTCCCAACAGGTAGTCCTAATAAAGCAGGCGTAAAAGTTGGACAATTTCAGATAGACGGTTCTAGCAAGGAAGACGTCACCATCCGTTGCTCAGGGAATTAACCCTCTTGACCTAAACTTGCTTATTATTACCCTACCTCAACCAACCTAGGATAATAAAACGGTAGAAATAAGTTATTTGAGTGGAGGGAATAAAATGGCGGCAGTCTATACAACGAAGTGCCCACAGAAGTGCAAATTGTTATATCTTATTTCGTGGCCATACCTGCAGTAGACAAGCCCCAACCTAACCCCAACTCCCAACTTTAACCCCTAATCCTAACCTCTAACCCCAACCCCTAACGCCTAACAGGTACGGCTATGAGATAAGATCTTGCCGTGCAAATTTTGCAGTTCCGCGTAGGTGTCCGCGGCACATGAATCATACCTGCCAACTTGAGAGCAGTATTCAATTTACAAAGCCACACACCAATTGAATGCAATCTATCCGAGCATCTAGTCAGTTTTTCTTAACAGCCAACTTCGAAGGTGACATAGGAGAATGCAACAGGTAGTCTTGACAAAACGGGTAGACAGTTCTAGCAAGGAAGACGGTTAACAACAGCAAAAAAAATCGTCATCATCGTCGCTCAGCGAATTAGCCCTCTTGACCTAAACTTGCTTATTATTATCCTACCCCAACCAACCTGGGATAAGAAAACGATAGAAATAGGTTATTTGAATGGAGGGAATAAAGTGGCGGCAGTCAGAAGTGCCCGCAGAAGTGCAAATTTTGCGGTTCCACATCAGTCGCCATGGCTTATGAATCATAACTGTCAGCTTGGGCGCAGTATTCAATTCTCAAAGTCACACACCAAATGAATGCAATCTACCCGAGTACCTGGTCAGTTTTGTTCAACAGCCAACTTTAAAGGTGACATACAAAAATGCTACATCGCCATTGGCGGCCACGGTTTCGCCACACCAATTGAATGCAATCTATCCAAGCATCCAGTCAGTTTTCTCAACAGTTAACTTTAAAGGTGACATACGAAAATGCGAAATCGCCATTTGCTACATATGCGGGAGCAGCACTGGCCATAAATTTCATTTCTTGATTTCATCCCTACTTAACACACCCCTGACTCTTAATGAGATGCCCCCTCTCAAACTATGCAAATGACTGCACTTTATGGTGATTGTATATAACTGCACTTAAAATTTCATGTGTACACTGAGAAGACCGCCTGCCGCACGCTTAGCAGTCCCGCATTGTGAAAGTTTTCCGTGAACAAATATGTTACTGACAAAATTTTAGTAAGATGTACATTTAACATTTATATTTTATGTACCGTTTTCAATAGGGTCATCAAGGGCATTGCCTATTACCCTAAAATACAATACAATACAAAAGCCACCGACTTAACTACCATTTAAAAGAAAAGAAGCCTGCCAACAAAAGCCACTAGTGCGGCTATGACAGCTCGACCGTCGATTTCGACGCTATGTGCTCGGCAGCAGGGACGGCGACTTGTGCAGCACCCAACGCACTCTCTACGTCTCCCCCGCCTGGGTCCGGTGTCATGAACAAGTCAAGAAAGCTGGAAGTGGGAGAGGGCGCAGGTGGCTGGCGCGGCCGGAGCCGCCCCTAGGCGTGCCGCCACACCCCACTCGGATCCCCCACGGAGAAGGAGTGCCATAAAGGCCCCATTAAGGAGCCGTTGCGGTCGGCCTGGGCTGACTGCGGGGTCCGAGTTATCTCGTCAGTTGGTAACCTTCCAAGCCACGGCTTTTACCGCGCCCTGATAGCTTCAAGCGCGTCAGATTGTTCATAGTGAGGCGTCGACCTTACTCTCTCTCTCTTCCCACTTCCAGGCACCAGTCCACTGTCCGAGCAGGTCAGATGTCTGAAGCCGGTAGTGGGCGGCGTAGCTGATAGAGCTAGACATGCGCCTAATTAATTCAGCCTACCGGAGCAAAATAAGTAGCAAATGTGCATGCACTATATTTGTGGGAGCGGTCTCATGAACTGTGTAGCCTGTAGCGCCGATATACGTGGAAGTGGGCGGCGTGGCTGATAGAGCTAGAGCGTCCGTCCGGCGCGAGCCACATGCATGACCTGACCCCCCAAACGCACACAGCAGAATTAAACACACAACGGGGGGGTTGAGCGGCGTATCTCTCGCATGTGTGAGAGTGCCGTGGAAGGGGCTGTATCGGCCCGGCCACCAGTCCACCCAAACACACTCAACTGGATGGACTGCGTGGACTGTGTTGAGGCGTCAATCAGCAACCTTCCTATCCACGGCGCTTGACGCGTCGGGATAGTCTCAGGCTCGAGTTACTCCTGAAACAAGATCCGCACGGAGACCGAGCCGAGGCATACGATTCCCACTTGCGTGGGAGGTGTTAGTTGAGTGCTTGCAGTGGGTGGTGTTGGTGAGCGGTGAGGGAGGATGTGGTGGTGTGGTGCAGCCGGCAGTTGTCTACCGCAGGTTTTCGTGGATGTACATAAGGCTGAATAGACCCATGCTGTGCATGAATGTGCGAGGGCAATGGGGACAGTGGAGGCGAGGTGGAAAGGCTCGGGTCTCACATAGAAAGGAGCCGAAAAGCACACTTCCCATTTACGTGAGAAGTGCTGGTGATGTGGGATGTTGGAGGGGTGTATGCGTGGTACATGTGCTGATGAGGGAATGTGTGTGGTGATATGATCATGTCTGCAGTGATCTACTGAAAGTTTTTTATGGAGGCGTATGTAGTTGAATAGGCTCATGCAGTGGGTACAATCATAATTTGACTTAAAACACTCCAAACGGTGGACGGTGGTAACTGGGCTGACTGTGTGTCGACTCAAAGTCAGTTCATATTTGCATGTAAAGCGCTAAAGCTAATGCAGTGATTACAGGTTAACAGTGAGTGTAATCCAAATGTAGGATAGTTGTCACTCGCCGGAAAGCGTGTAAACAAAAATCGCCCGGCCTATTTATGTGGGCTCTTAAAGCCGCTGATATGAACAACATGCTAATTGTAGTGTAAGCCTTCCAAAACAAAAAACACAAAAACATGCGCCTAATTAATTCAATCTACCTGAGCGATATAAGTAGCAAATACGCATGCACTATATTTATGGGAGCGGTCCTATGAACTGTGTAGCCTGTAGCGCCGATACACGTGGAAGATAATCCTGCAGTCATTACCAGGAAATGTGAAAAAGTATGAAATCATGAAAACCATAGAGTAGGAAACTTTGGTAGTGCATTACCAAGCATGCGAAGGCGTGTGGACGGTATTTAGTACTGCTAACCACCAGTTTGCAGTTACATCAGTAAGGTGTCACTAATCGACTTTGCAGAGTCGCTCAGGGACAAGAAATGGAGATGTAAAGCTTACCCTCAGTTTGTCAATCCCCTCACCAGTAACGGAAGAGACCATGAATACCTCACTGAAGCCCTCCCAATGTTCCACGCCCTGCAGTTCTACGGCCAGCTGCCGCCAACGACGCTTCCTGAGTTCAACCTCCTCCTTGCTGGCTGACTGTAGCAGCAGTTGTTGTTTTAGCTGCTCAACAATCGAGTCCAGATAGGTGTCCTCGGTGGGGGCGACGGCGGTCGCGCTCTCCTTCGAAGCTGGGGCTGGGGCGGGCGGTTTGGGGCTGTACTCCATGAAGTACTCCTCAATGCTCTGACGTTCAACGTCGGTTACCTGGCGATCCTGCTTTGGCATGACCGTTTCACCACTGGCGACTAAAAAAGGAAATGTTAAACTGTAGAATAGACAGACAGCGTGGTGAATACACTCGCTTATAATGGTTAACAGTGAACGTGGTGAAAAGAAAAAGCAATGGGTAGTGGGAGCGTACGTTCTAAGTAAGATCGCATTCAGAGCGAACGAATCCAGTGTTCGACCGTCGTTACCGACGGCGTCTGCCGTGGGCTCCACAGCAGGGTGAAGCAGGGACGGTGATTTGCGCGTGATTTAGTTCATAGTGAATGTAGACTTGCGCAGCATCTACCGCACTCTCTTTTCCCCACTCCCCACCTGGACCCGGTGTCGAGACAGAGTCAAGAAAACCGGAGGTGGAGGAAGGCGCAGGTGGCTGGCACGGCCGGTCCCGAGCTTAGGCATGCTCCCGCAACCCTTGCTCAAAAACATACACTTGACCAGGATTTTTCACCACCAACAACAAAAACACCCCAACCGGGGTGAGAAGGACGAGGATGATGACTGGGTAGCCATGCCCGCCACCTGTATACCCGACGTGAACACAAGCGCATCTACTGGCAGGAAACCAGGTGTCAGGGAACTGCCAGTGCATACCAGGCTGCGAGGGCCATTGTTTGTTGATACAGGCATAGTAAGGGCTTTTAGACCTTTTTACCAGTGTGGGCGGGCGCACGCCCCCGACTAAACACGAACAACCCCATCATATGAATATACAATAAGGTTGGGGGCGATGAAACCAGGATATATGCGGCACGCTTAGATGGAACACATAACTCCGTCAGTCACTGCCCATCCCTGCCTCAGGTCATCTCTACATTGTCCTGTCTTGAAGGCGGTGCAGCAGGCGCTCTGCAAGTCCGTCTCACCATAGGCTAATTCACGCACAAGCCACCGCTATGCTCACTCCTCGGGGGATGGGGCGGGCGTCGTCGCAAGCATGAAAGAAGCCAAATGAGATTGCATGGGTTGTTGGAGAAAGAGGGAGGGCGCAGGCCGTCAGCTGCTGTGACATGCTTTCTGTCTTTACAGTCGGAACTGTGCAGGAAGTCGGTTTGGCCATGGTAAATGTACGTGTTCACAGAGACCTGGATTCGTGAATGATGCATTGCTGTAGAATTTGTTTGGCTTGGGCAGGAGTAGAGCTTCGGGAGAGCATTCCATTCCGCAAATTCTCACTATCAGCACTGTTTCTTTAAAGATGACTATTATCACAAAAACTCCACCTGCTATGAGAGCAAAATGTGCTTGCGAAGAATGCGCGAAACATTCGCCGCCGAGTTAGGTCTTCCCAAATTAAATCCTTCGAAGTCCGAATATCTGAAATATTGAGTAATTGTACACCCGTTGGGGTTCGTTAGTAATGCGCATTTTACCTCAGTTCTCAGAAACCGACGATCGAATAACAACGCCTCCCTCTTAGGTTTGCGCTATGACAACTCGCACAAATGTAAGATTTGAGGCAGTGAATTAGGGTTCAAATTAACGGGGATGGATGCGCGATCGTGCCTAACTCTTCTCAACAGTTTTCTGAGGCATGCTTTTTCGCTTGTATCCGATTCCGCTTGAGTTCGGAGACCAGCCAGTGCGCGACACGATGATGTCTGCCAAATTCTGTAATGACGGGCAGTGTTTGCGTGTGACACTCTTTGGACGGAGGCTTCATGTCACGTCGGCCATTGTGGTAAACCCCACCTTTAGGCGGTCTGACTCAGGCTTGCTGCTGGCGTGGAAGGGGGAGAGAATGTGGGTTCAATTCGATTCTGATCCGACGCTTATTTTTCTCGCTATCGTCGACCAAATATGTCTTTAAATTGTCCGTGGTAAGCATTGTGGCTTGGACAGATGGCAGCTGGCAGAATAACCCGTCCCCCCCCCCGGAGCAGATTGAGGGTATGGATGCAACAGGCCTCTCAAAATGTGGTCTCTGTGACACTCCCATTCATGAGGGATCAGAGACTTCCACCTAGAAAGCCGACCAACACGAAGTCAGGGCCCGGCATGTGTGTGGCACGCATAGACGTGGTCTCAACCCCTGCATCCATGCATGTTATCAGTTGCCTTGACCTCGTCTTGCCATCAGAATGCAGCGGGAGTGGGAGGGGTGAAGTAGGTGCTTCGAAAGTCCGCTTCACTATAAACAGACTCACGTGTATGTCAACGCCGAGCCCTATCTGAAACCGTGGTAGCTCTCGTCACTTTCGATGGGCGAATTACCCCTGTGGTTATTGTCACTGCAAATTCTATGCGTTCTAGAATTACAACTGCATATTAAAGGTCTCTCCCCAGAAGATTATTGACAGTCGGGGCAATTCGACCCCTCGCACGGTGCGTCACATCGTAGTGGATAGTTAGTAATAAGGTTTTTATGGCAGCCATCACTAATATGACATCTGGGCTACTGAGGGACCAGCATGTGTGGGCCTGGTCTGACCTTTTCCTATGGGGTGGGTGCGTGAGGAATGATCAAGACCAGTTCTGTAAAATTCCTCCCCGATATAGTCAGATCACGTATTTGCTATCACCGTCGACTACGACAAGGAACTACCGGTAATTCTTGTGAAATCCAAAAACGCTTCACGTAAAGCCTGCACATTACGCAGCGCACATCTTCCAACAAATGAAGGATTTTTAAAAGCAATTAATAGAAACGTACTTTTGTTAACGAGCAACATGTGGTACTGGGGGCTGAGGTGCGGACTCGAGACCGCGGAAAACGCAGGGTTCTAGCAGGGGGGCAGTGCCCGTGGCAGATCTTACTACGCTTGATTACAGAAATCCAAAATGGTAGCTCAGGTGTAACATATATGCGCTGAATTAATATTAACTGGCCTAATGCGATGCATGCAACGTCAACTTACCACGTAGAAATCATCGATATCTCACCACACCTGGGCAATCTCTTATGCTAATGAAAGTCCCGAGCTAGGTCTACGCGCTAGTCCGCTAGGTCTCTGGGAGCGGGCAGTAAGTTAACCAAGAAATGTGGACGTAAATATACCATCCGCACAATCGGACGCTGTTTTTGGTTCGAGCAGATCACACGAGATCATTCGTGAAAAAGCACACAGTTTTTAAGAAATCAGAGCAGCTACAGGCTTAGCAGGCTCTGATTTTTGGGCGCAAAACACAGTGACAATGTCGGTAGATAGACAACCTAGGTTACCCTAATGCCGACGAATGTCCTCTCTGAAATAATTCAAGCAGAAGGATGGCTTAAAAGTTGAGCATATAAGCGCCTAAAAACGTTGACCCTAAGCACTTTGTAGTACTGCATTGTAGAGTTGTGTCGGTTATCGGTGCTCGCAGCAGGTGTTTCCAGACTTCGAAGCAATTTTCATGGCAAGCCAAACATGAGCGAAGTAAGGTCAAACAGCTATTGCAAAGTACCCTCTTCAGGTTCTTCCGTCCTCGTTCCAACTTCTTTCCTCGTCTCTGGCGCGTTTGGGGAAATTCTCGCAGAAGAGAGGGCTGCAGAGTCAGTGGACACAGGAGCATCAGTATCACAGGACACCGCGGAAGAGGTTATTACATTCAGCGTGCAGGTTTCAGACTTCTCCAGTCCCGCCGACTCTGTGTCGAGTTGATGCTGATGGCGGCCACTGAGGTCTTGCGTCAGCTCACCTGGTTGGGGGTCGGCGCCGACCTCGAGCCGAAGTGTAGGGGGGCTAGCTCCTGCCGAGTGAGGTAAGGAGAGGGGAGTCGGAGAGCGCGGCTCACCGAGGCGCTCCACCTGAAAGGGCGGATTCAGCATTTGGCGGATAGCAGCAACCTCGGCCAGTCGCCGGTTTGCCGCTTCAATAGCGACTGCTGGTAGGCGTAGAGTGATGACTTCGCTGGGCTCTAGACGTGGCATGGCGTTTTGCCTGGCGGCTAATTCCGCGCGATGGATGTAGCGGTTTTCGTAGGCATCTGCATGCGAGATGCGACCACTCACCACACCTCTCGTCAGACGCCTGGATACATCCAGCAGACGAGTCGGGTTGCCCTTAGCTTGATCGATCTAGGGACAAAAAGGTGGGCGTACGTCAGCACAGCCATCAGCAGTCGATGTAGCAAAGTAGATAGGACGGAGCAAATGCGTTGGAGCGATCAACAACAAACCAACAGGAATTTGAAGCATTTTGTCCCCGGTACGATGCTGAAGTAAGCAAGCAAGGCAGGCTTTAATGGTACCAAAAAAATTCGCGACGGCTCGTCAGCTGCGTCCTGTCGCTTCATGACATGGATAACGCGTGGGAAGAATACAACAGATTTGAATTGAAGAAACAGAAAGGTCATGTTTTTGGGTAAAGCTGGCTAATCGATAAAGTTAGTAACTCAAACACCGTAGGGGAAAAGGTGAAAAAAGGGGAGCGTTAACGAGCAAAAGAGGGAGAGAGGAAGGCGAAATCATGGAGCTAGAGGCTACCATGGCAATGTTAGGTTAACAACGTGTTCAAACTGTTTACAAAGATCTGATTTCACTCGTGGTATGTAGACCGCCGAGTTGTTCGTGCCCGAACAAGTACTCGGAAGGAAGTTTTGGGGTCGACGGAGTGACCATTATCAAGCAGTTGTTTCGTAATGGAGGAACGCGGGATTTTATTTTCTTGCCGTTATTTAAAATGGCTGTACCTCATGAGAAAACGCGATTTTCTGTACAATAAGCCGGAGGAGGGGGCCCTTGGCTGGCTTTCCATATGAAAATACAGATCCTTGTACTTAATTAAAAAGGCAGCGACGATCACATGGGCATGCCTTTGGTCTGAGCGAAATCATCCGACGTGGATGGAAAATTAGCCGGCCCCTGTTTAGCAACTATACCCCCCCCCCCATCCATATATCAGCCTAAAAGTCAACCTTTTAAACTTCGAATTCAAAGCACACTTGGCTAAATCGGTCGACATTTACAGGATTTTACTCTGTTGCGGGTTACCGACTGCATCGCCCTCTCAGGCGGTACCGTCGGCACAGCACCCGCGTAAAGGCACAAAGGCTGAGCTCAAATGTTTTCACAAAATGAATACTTCACCCATCACCCAGGCTACAAGCACCTGTAGAGTCAGAGGGTTGCGTGTTAGTGACACGTCGAGTTAGATTGGTGGATAATGAGGAAATGCCCAATTCGAAGGTAACGCAGACTTAGTCAGCTGGACAACCCCTACAAGCGGTTTGGCAGACAATGGTAGCAATTGTTCTAACAAACCCAATGCCAGCCGTTCTTGTTGGCTCCTGCATGAACCGCGTACGTTTGCCTGAGATCTGTCCGCCAGCGACCAATCAGAAGAGGGCGTAACACCAATTGGCGTCAAGCTATTGCTACACTGGGGTCACGTCACGTGCAGCGTGAGCAGTTGACTGACTAGGGATGTTAGGAGCACCGCTGCGATCACGTACGACGGGCCAAATGCCAGTGTGTGAGGTGCCCAGGGAGGGATTGTCACTTTGATCGATCGACAGTCCCACTGAGGGCCTCGCTTAATGAGGTGTGCACTCCATTATGACCATGGCCTCACCTGACACCCAGCTGCCATGACGCGCTTCAGGCAACTGCCATCAATGCATCGCTTCGGCGGCAAGCGAAACAAGATGAGAACGACCAGTGTGTCTATGCAGGACCGACAAACATGTGTGCGAGGTATGGTTCAGTTACGAGGGGAGGACCAGTCGTGTAGTAGAACCCGTAGATAGGGGTCTAATGCCAGGACAGTTTAGGTCGGGGACTTCACTCCGGCAAGGAATGTTTGCGTCTCGCCTGACGATCGGAAAATAAGAACTACTTAAACGGAAACAGTAGGCATTGCCCGAGAATTAATGAGCGTTTGGTGCAGACCAAAGACGAGAACAGGACGGCTCTGTAGGTACTTACCTTGTTAAGGACTAGGATGGATTCTTTATCTTTGAAGAAGTGCAGCGTCTTGACAATTTCAGGATGTAGTGCTTGCCGAGCATACTTGTTGGCTGAGTCCACAAGAATTAGAACTAAACGCTACAGTTAAGAGGGCGAAGGTGAAGAATCCCACCTTACTTAAGTCACAGTCAAAGATTGCAGCATGCGGGTCCCGAAAGAAGGTCTTTTCTAGTTTGAACCTAAGAATGAGAGAAGGAGAGTTCTGTCTGAGATAATAACAGTTTAAGACGCAAAAAAACAATCGTCGTCTGTATTTAAATGCAACTTTGAGCTCACGTGAAATACTTACTGTCTGGCTTGTCCGAGTGACACGATTCCGGGAAGGTCAACGAACGCCTACAATATGAAAGAAAAGCATGCCAGGGTGATTGAAAGTGTGGATCAATAGGCGTCCTAAGCTTCATAAAGTGTCTTAAATTGTTCGCAATGGAATGAGAACACCCCGATCTGGATGGTAAGTTAGGATGAACTCGTTTTATTGTTCGGCCGCAAGTGTTTACCCGGTAACCGTTAGCAGACGGGAGTTAGAATAAGTATTTAGCGACAATTGGTTCAGCTGTCCTAGTCCACTTCAGTTAATCTCTGCTACTATCTCAGTGGAATTTTTTTTACCTCAGAGGATCTCGCGAACCCAGATGCACACAAATTTTCTCATCATATAGTTGTCAAACTTGCCCAGCTCGGAAGCTGATTGTGTAGGCGAGGTAAGGTACTGAATTGCGTAGTTGCCTGATTAGACTAGCCTGTCAAATAGACCAATACTGTAAAGTTGCAAAGTTGATTAAACCGCCCTGCCAAATAGACCCATATCGTAAAGTTGTAGTGTTCCGTTGCGTGGCTAATCCCGAAGTCTATTAGCAGGCTAACGTGCTTACATATCCTGTTGAATTTAAGTCCCGTGGTTTGGGCTGCGAAGATGCATAAGCTACTCCCGTGCAGGCAGGCTCTGTAGCCCTTACCTTACTGTCAGCGCGCACCCAAGTGCCGGGTTCAGCGCAGTCGAATGGCTAATAATCTGTCTTCCCTGCCAAAACCCGAGACTTTAAATGCTTCTCGCAGCACCTGGCAAAAAAGATACATGCATTGTAGTGATGTTGTTACTATTTAATAAATAACCCTGGAATGGGCTGCGCGAACCCATACTTACTGGCACACATAAAGGCGTGTAGAGGCACACCTTAGACGTAGACCTTCACGTTGCGTCAGCGACTGTGCCCAATCCCAGGTTTGGGCGAACGATTGGTACATGGGAGAGGGAGGAGAACGTGTGAGGCCGACATTAGGGAATCCACCCCCCGTGACACATCAGCAAATCCCTCATTACAATAAAATTTGGACGCGTAAATAGTCAAGGGTTCGCAGTAGATGGAATGCTGTCAACTGGCGATACAACCGGGTCCTTCGCAGGACACTATGATACTCTCAGGCATCCGCAATCGAGCTCGGTAGCGTGTGTGGCACGCGTAGACGGGCGGCGAGTGACGCTGCGCCTCCGCCCACCTGTCGTCTTGGCATTGCCTTGCACCAGAGCCGGTGCTATGTTCACTCCGTGGGGCACTTTTAGGCTCTGCAGAGCTTCGGTAAATATTAAATCCCACCAAGAAAATGAATGATATTGTGGAATAAACTGACCAACTGCACCGAGTCTGTCGTATAGACGACTGTCTGCTTCGATCGCGTGGTATGCGCCCGTCCTGACACGGCACATGTCCGCCACTTTGTCAACATGTTGACTAGGGAGGACTTGCCAGAGTTGGGATAGCCGACAACTGCAATCTTCAGGAGCCGTCCGTTTGCCGGTGTCTGGTGTTGGAAATGAAGCATCTTTTGTAGGAACTCGGCTTTAAAAGGCGAAAGCAAACAGATAAGTCAATCTGCCCGGTCGTTAGCTGTTGACTCTAAGTAGGTAGGAAGTACTTGTTCTCTTTAACATTTTCGAGCAAAACCCGCAAACGATTGATATTTGTTAAAATCATTAAATTCCCTACTCAGTGTACCGAAAATACAATGACGGAAAAGGAGAATTTCCCGTTTGTTAGCACTTTGAAAGCAAGTCAGAGACCATGAGCATACCTTTAGAGCGGGGAACACGTTTGACTGGAAGTGAACTGCTGTCCACCAGCGCAAGGCCGGGTTCAACATGAACGGACATGAAGCGATGCGGGTCCGGAAGAAGCGCTTGGGTCCTCTTAAACCACGCTATGCACCTTCCAAACATTGCGAACGGCCTTTAATGGGCATGCGTAATAACGGAGGAAAAACGAGAACATTTATGCTTTTGCATGTAATAAGAGCTTCCCCAAAATTCTGCTCACTTTTGGCCAAGAAACCCAGAAGCAAATTAAATCAGCATACAACATATTATATACTACCGGTTTTAAAAAAACCTGAAAAACTGTGGAAATCTAAACTGGTCATTTTAGGATGCGGACGACAGTAGCGTTAATCATCGAATTCGTTTGCGTTCTATCGGGCCGGTCTGCTTCGGTACTTAGACGTAATATCCACTCTTGAAATTCAAGTAGTTACATTCATGCCCTTCCAAGTCGGCCTCGGCGACTTCCCGGACTTAACCTCATTGCGTGACAATTTGCGGCAGCGGGTCTTAGGAGCTTGTTCAGCTATCTTTTCCAGAAGCGGACGCCGGACATCGAAAGTCAATATAGTGACGGTCTGTGTTGGATCATGTTTGGAGTTCACCATGTATTTGAAACGCTAGACCAGGAGCAGCAAGAATGTCACGGACAAAGAGAGTGACGATGGGTAAAGGTCGCTTGGCTTTTATGACCATAATCTGGAATTCACAACCGTGCGGAAAAGCTGACCGGACGGACGTCCGGTATATGACTATCTTTGCGGCAAGTGCGTATACACATTCTAAGGCCCGAAGCCATTCGGGCAGGAAGTCGTCATTACGCTGTTCATTCGGAAACAGTTTCGCCTAAGGTGTTTGGAGATGTCCACCTCCTTAAGTTGACAACCACTAACCCCGAGAGGTGTCTTCTGTTGGCCAGAAATGCACTTGGTCCTTCTAGCGTTGATGGATAAACTACCTGATTTAGCGACCACAATCACCTTTGGCAAAAGATTCTGTTGGTCATCATAGCTTGATCATAACGGCTTAGCCGCGCTCAGCGTTGTCGAACGCCAGACCGAATATCGGAAAGTCAAGAATCAGAACTGAGACAGTGGCGGAGCGATAACAGCCCTTTGCCGCGACTGATTTTTGCCGGCATGCCTACTAACTCCCCGTATTCATCATGGAACCGAACACTGGCAGAACCAACAAAGCAGACACCTGTCAGTTGCGGAGAGTCGCCGCAAAATCCAAGAACACGCAGAAGTGAAAAGATTATACTGGCGAATCCATGTCCAAGTGGGGACCCACTTAAGAAAGACGATGAAATGGACTTTCGAGGAACGTCGGTAACGCTTCCGCCACGATAGTCCCCAGACTCTGCCTTTCCGCCCTCCTTTAAAACAGACACAAGGGCGGCCGGGCCTAAGTTGTCTGAAATTATCTTACCTACCCACACTTCTGAATCACATAATGACATGAGACTTTGGGACTTCTGTGGGGATGCCGTCCTCCCCGGGTGTCTTGTCGCTGCACTGCCTTTATATTGTATCACTGACTTCTTTCAGAGAGGTGGGATCACATGAAACTGAACAGCCTCTAGAGGGATAAAACTCTGTCGAGCTAGTCATATAATTTGAAGACGAGCTTGAAGTGCTCACGTCAGAGCTCGAGCATGGTTGGGCTACGAGCAATAAGGCCACCACTACTCACGTTACAAACAGGGTCACTCAGTGCTGATGGGACAAGCAACGATAAGATCATTCAACTGATTTAGTCATTGTGAGTTTTCCCAGCTGCGTCGTGTACTGAGGACTCTAAAGATGACCATTTGCTGCTGCCTTTTTTCTCAACGTAGTTGTAGAAGAGGGTCGGATTTTTGCGTTTAGAGTATCGGCTCTGCTTAGTTATCAAAGTTCGTTACATCAAGGCGCCTTGTATGTTACTGGATGTTTATAGAGACAGTACGGCGAACAGTCGATTCTCGTCAGCAAGGCCTAAACGTTCACCGCTCTCACCGTCTGCACGCCAACAGAATGGACGTGCAAGCAACATATTGACGGTTCACTACCACTCTCAGATGTACATTTGTGCACTTTCAAACTATACATAGAAGTAACCTGGTCATTGGTACTACGCCCTCGGATGGATCTGTAGCCAGTGACGGTAAGCTAATATGTACTCAGAATCGAGCACGGCATCTATCAGGTGAAGTGAAATTAGTTTTCGCCAACTATTGCATTGTTGAAGACTACTTTGATTATCCAATTAAGTCCTCAAATGTTAAGGTTTTCAAGGCTAAGCTAGACACTGCGAGTCACAACTGTCCATTGCTGCAAACGGTTCAGAAGTATGCATGCTCCCCGATGGAAGAGTACTTCGTCCTGATTAAAATTAATAAATAGTGGGATTCCGCACACGCACAGTCGCGAGCCGGTCCGATCGGGTTGGTCCTTGGGGATCTTATCGGCTGACGAATAAATGCGCCCGAGCGTATCTTGTCTACATACACCGGATATTCTCCATATGGAGGACGTAAAAGTTGTCAAAAACGTCAGTAAGCAGTACAACTCTTAAACCTATCATGTGTGCACTTGCTTAGTTTACTCCAAAAAATATTTTCGTTAGAAACGCCTATTACTCAAAAAACTGTACAGGACAACCACGTACAAACGGTCACATGTTGCACTCACAAAAAACAACCCACTCTGTTCGCGTGCCTGAATTTCAGTCCAGTAAAAGAGTGCTGATCAAGAACTTTTAATGTTTCCGATATGCAGAGCCACCCAGATTCATCAGACGCATAAAGCCATTAAACCTGTGCACTTGGGTACTGATCAACGGACTTAGAAGTTATGAGCTAACTTTTTGCAAGGATCTTCGTAGGAATAAAACTCATTTAAGCACTAGTAAACGGCAGAATTCTAGAAACGGAAGATAATAACATGCCGCACGGCTGGTATATCAGCGACGAGAGTGTAAAAATATTTTAAGACATTAAAGACCCCTGAACAAACTGTTCTTATCCTCTTACACCCGGGGTTGGGGATTGTGGGTAGTGGGTTGGACAGCTAACGGATTAACACCATAATAATAGTAGTTGTCATGACTTCAAACGCCCATCCGTCGTTCTTTATGCGAAGTTAACACTCATTCAAATGTCAAACTACAAGCAATTACTTCAGCTCTGTGTGAGCAATCAACTCTACATTGTCATTTTGGAGGGGCATTAACTAGAGCAGGAAAGGTTATTCGCGTCCGCCGGATAATTTTTGAGCCCAGTATTTATGAAAAAATGTATCGATATACTCAAAACGTGAGGTTTCTATATAACCAAGCAGTCAGGAAAATTCTGAATTGAATATACGGGGAGAATTCGGGAACCAGGAAATTCAGGTGAGATAGTTAAGATAAAAACCGGTTCTCAACAGGATTTGAAGGAGCAGAGCAGGTTCATGTTTAGAATAGGGTGAGATTAAAAATTCGGACTAGCAAATGAATGTGAAGCGTCAGTACGAGAGCGAACGTGATGCCTGGCTGTAGCAGACCTTGGGTGAGATCGACAATAAAGGTGAAGTCACGTCATCCCATCAGCGAGAGTGGAACACCTTGTTCATGTTCTTCCGTTTATTGAGGCAAACCGACGTGAACCTTTGAGCACCCTAGTTACAATGTAGGGCTGGATACCAGTGTCGCAACACTCGGATTCGCCGCGAATCCGAGTGTTGCGACATTAAAAATAAAGGCTTACTGATTAATTTCAGTAGGCATGTTTGTTTAAAATACTGCCGTCTGGTGCTTTTCCCTTTACATGCGCGTCCGTCGTGTCTTTCGGGGTATTGCTTGTGCTATTGGTGACACAATCACTCACCGCAATTTCTATTAGTATTATTCGTTGCAGAGGTGGCTGCCCCGCTACGTGTCTATGTACGGTATTGGTAGTAACTTCCTGATGTCCGAATTAAGCGCCTTGCTAACAGTTGCACAGTCATTGACGTTCTTGGTACTAGCAGTATTTCAGTCAGCGTTACCTATACCAATAAAGTTAGTAATGTAGTCGTGGCCATGTTAGTGGTAGTATTCGAAGAATTAGTAGTAGTAGCAGTAGTAGTAGTAGTAGCAGTAGTAATAGTAGTAGTAGCAGTAGTAGTAGTAGTAGTAGTAGTAGTAGTAGTAGTAGTATTAGCAGTAGTCGTAGCAGTAGTAGTAGTAGTAAAAGTAGTAGTAGTAGTAGTAGTAGTAGTAGTAGTAGAAGAAGAATTAGCGGTAGTAGTAGAAGTAGTATTAGGAATAGAAGTGGTAGTAGAGGTAATAGTAGTATTAGGAGAAGAAATGGTAGTTGTAGTAGTAGTCGTAGTAGTAGAATTAGGAGTAGTAGTAGAGGTAGTAGTAGTAGTAGCAGAAATAGTAGTAGTAGTAGTAGTAGTAGTAGAAGCAGTAGCGGTAGTAGTAGTATTAGGAGTAGTAGTGGTAGTATTAGTAGAAGTAGAAGTAGTAGTAGTAGTATTAGTAGTAGCAGTAGTAGCAGTATTCGGAGTAGATGTAGTACTAGTTGTTGGAGTAGTAGTAGTACTAATAGTAGAAGAAATAGGACTAGTAGTAGAGGCAGTAGCAGTAGTAGTAGTAGAAGTAGTAGTAGTAGTAGTCGAAAAAGTAGTAGCGGTAGTAGTAGTAGTATTAGGAGTAGTTGCGGTATTAGTAGTAATAATAGGAGTAGTAGTGGCAGTAGTAGTAGTAGTAGTAGTAGTAGTAGTAGTAGTAGTAGTAGTAGTAGTAGTAGTAGTAGTAGTAGTAGTAGTAGTAGTAGTAGTAGTAGTAGTAGTAGTAGTAGTAGTAGCAGGAATAGTAGCGGTAGTAGTAGTATTAGGAGAAGAAGCGGTAGTAGCAGTAGTATTAGGAGTAGTAGTGGCAGTATTAGCAGAAGTAGTAGTAGTAGTAGTCGTAGAAGTAGTAGCAGTAGTATAAGTAGTATTATTAGTAGCAGAAGTGGTAGCAGTAGTAGTAGCAGTAGTAGTAGTAGTAATAGTAGAAGTAGTAATAGAGTTAGTAGCAGTAGTCGGAGTAGTAGTAGTAGT